CCTCGACCTCGTTGTCTCGCCGGCTTAGATGATTAACAAGTGTCAATATCTCCCGACCTAAATCAGCAAGACAACGAGCTCGTGGATCAATGGCTAGAACGTAAGACTCTGATCAGAAAGGTCGAGAGTTCGAGGCTCGGGTGGATCTCCACTTGGGCCTAGGTATGACTGGCTGATGACGGCTAATAAGCCAGAAATGGTCATTTCAGTATCCCTTGACTTTGCTGGCAATACTATCTACAAGTTTTGTTGCTTGGGTGACCCTTTATGATGCAGATACGAAAGGTATGGCTCATCAGTCTGTCACTCATCGTTCCTTATTTACCGGGAGTAAGAGAGTGTAATTAATATTTATAGGTAACCGAATGTGTGTTAGCAGAATGCCGACATTTCGTGGTCCTTACATTAAAACTGACGGCCTGCAGTTTATGCATCCACATTGATTTTCGAACTGGATCCGATAAAATTTGTATCACAAGATTTATTCCAGGTTCACATATTAGTTAAAGAGGAAATTAAAAATCTCAAATACTTTATTGTTTCACGAATATGATATATTTCAATTCTCGAGGTTCTAAGTTTATGGTATGCAGCAGGTTGCTCGTGAGCCTTTCTTATACAGTTTTTTGAAGAGTAGGAGGAGGTAGCACTTAATAGAAGCTACTTTTCTGTAATTAACTACCAAACTGCAATTGTGTTCTTTTTGGTTTTATATCTGGTACTGTTTATTAGTTATAAGAATATTTTCAAATGGAAATTTGGCCCTTTTGAGATGCTTGAGGACTTTTAAAATAGGGTTTTCGGAGTGTAAATGGCCACCATATGTGATATATGAAAATATCTTAAAAAGTGCCTCACTGAAGTTTTTCTCCGTCTGTTTAAAAGTGTTGTAACGGTGGTTTCGCTGTCTAATTACGCCCTTTGGAATCTCTAAGGAAGAACACAATAAGGACGTAACTTTGGAAGCCACTCAGAGGAGGGTTTATTGTGTACAAACCCAGAGTTGCTTCCTCGGGTGGTTGCTGTCGCTGGTTGATCTCCAGCGCGCTGAATGTCCCCGCTTCGGGGCGAACCCCGGCATTGAAGATCGGACGAGCGGTGTCCCCGCAGTCCGTGTTGCAACCCACTGTCTGAGAGGTGACAGTGGCTTATAAGAGACTGTTAAGCGCGTTTGCATGTGGCAACTGGTCACGCTACCATTTGACCCTTGATGGACTATGAACATTTGGGCACGCGCTTCGACGCGCGTGCGTGTGTCCGGTTTGAGGTCATTGCGTGTGGACGGTCATCGCGTGGGCCTAACCACCGCGAAGGCATTTGACCTTGAAGACAGTCCTCTTTTGACAATGGAATCATTGTGGTAGTCTGCGGCAGGCACGACGCCTCAGGAGAGCCCGCTAGGTTGCCAGCCTTTGGTCAGGCTACACTCCTAAAAAAAGTACATGCTGAAACGTTTTGCAGTCCGATATTTATGTGCCTTGATGATCATGATGTCGTTATCATCAACCCTTAGTGGTCACGTATACTTTAGTTTTAGCAAACGTACCTCGGGTCTATATGTGCTGACGAGGTATTGCTCAATTTAACTATCAAACAAATGAGTTAAAGAATGATTAGATCTACTAACAAAAGGAAGTTCAATGGGGAGTGCATTTTCTACGTAATTGCTGACAGGTGGTCTACACTGCAAAGCTGTACATATATTATAACTTAATTTCGGACGCTCGGATCCAGTCTAGAAGAAAAATATTGTAAATCGATGATGCGAAACGAGTTTTCCAGAAGACAGATCTTTGGTAAGAAAAAATTTTAGACTTGGCCCTGTAATTGTGGGTAGATATATCCTCCAGAGACAGAGCAATGAAGCAGTCTGAAAAGTTGATTGTTACTTGCCGTATCCCTTTGGGTGTCTATTCCAGGAGTTATTTTCTCCAAGCGGGCGGTTGGCTTTTCAATTTTTGCCTATTTGCAAACAAAGTGCAAATAAAAATTGAGGAGGATAAAGCAGTATGACTGACTTTATGAGGACAAATTGCAGGCAATAGTTAAAATCTTGCCACATTGCCTTACAATTTCAAGTAAATACTGATTATTTACTGGGTGGGACTTTATAATTTAGTCTGACATTCCCGGTCTACAATTAATTGAGGGTAAAGCCAAAAGGATGTCAGTGCACTGAATGATCATAGGGAATGTCTGATACATCTACTGCAAAACAGCTTGCTTGTTTCTCTGTTATGACCCGCGCCTAGTCCCGCGTCTGGTTTTCATTAGCATGGTCCGTGAGCTAGCCCGACCGCTGTACCTAAGACCCAGTATTAGAAAAGCAAGAGGAGACCGGCAACCACGAGCAGACGTGTATTCACACAAAACAAGTCAGAGCAAGTCGTTCACCCAAAAAGGCCGCGTTAATTTAATACTCCGCGTTAGAGACACTGTCCGAGAACATGGAACAACCAGAATTGAGGAGACATCGCTGGCCGGGTAGGAAGGTAGCTCGCGACGCCCTCTACTGTATATACTAATTTTAAAGCCTCTTTGGATTTAGGGTGTTTTATGGGAGTGGGCGTATGATCTTGGTTTTCACTTTCAAATGGTGTTTAGGCAAATGGTTCGCTCAAGTTTAGGGACCTCGGCAAACGAACTGCGTACAGCTAAGTGTTTTCATACAACAAGCTGTGCAGCCATTAAAAAGGACGACAAAACGTCCGCTAACTGCTCGGATTGCAGATTCACACTTGAAACTATCGAGGTAATACGCCTAGAACTGGAGACCAGGATGAGAGTGTTAGTAGGCGAACTGAAGTTCCCTCCCCTTTCGTCATAACACGTGAGCTCCTTCAAGCAACAACACTTGTCTCAACGGATACATTTGCATGGGCTTCCGCCCTTTCTCATATGACTGAAAAGGTGTGCGAAAAAATGCTAACTTAGAACGGTAGTGACTTACTAGTATGCGCGTTTGTCGTCAGACCACATTTCAAGTTCACACTTGGCATGCAAAATAAAAAAACTTACACAGCCATGGCTTTTTGGATCAGATCCGGTTTCTTGCAAATTTTCGTACGGGAAAAATGCACTAGGAGAACTGAAATATAGCGCGACCTTGCTATTCGTATAGTCGTAGTTTGATGTTTATATCTCGTAGCGCTAACGTCTTTCGTAGCAAGATGGATGAGGTTGGAAGACGGCCAAAGCCACGATTTATTAATCGAGGCAGACGAAAAGGGCAACATTTTTATGGAAATATATTGATGCCTATTTGAGGTCTAAGAACGGGAGATTCTTCTCATTCGGTTGGTACACACGCAGTTAAAATGCTCATTTATAGATTATGCAATTTTCTCATTGATTTCCAGTGCGCGTTCTGAGTGAACTACACAAAATTACTCCGTTCTGTACTCATTTAGTGCATAAGTAAATTCTCTTTCACTTTTCTGCTCGTATAAAGATACTCTGAGAGTTTAAGCACGTCAGTTACTTTCCGAATAGATTTGAACTCGAGCTGCAGCTGCTATTGCATCTAAAGTTTCAAACGACATACAGCATAAAAATCTGCATACTGCAATACAATCTAATATTTCTTTAAGCTTTCATGAGGACTAATGCTATTTGTTAATCAATGTGAACTGGGTTCTATCCATACTCCCTAGGCAACATTAATAAATGAATTAACCTTTCAGGATCTTCAACTAGTTTATAATAAGAGAGTTGTTTTTAAATGAAGAGATAACCTTTCTTCGAGTATAATGTAGAAGAAAGCGTTCTTCTTTACTGCAGTAGTACAAGAAAGAATGCTTCTGTGCGCACAATCTAATAAGAATATTTTAATTAACAGAGCCACGACAAATCAAATGGAAAAGTTAAGGTGAATCAGATAGTCCTTATTTTGAGGTAGTTTTTTAAAGTGGCCGAAAGAAGCACATTATAATAAATTTGGCATCCTGCGCTGTTTATGTCGCAAGATACCAGACATAATAATTAAATCTGAGCGACCATGTGTCATCGAAAACCCATTACAGAATTTCGGTTAACATTTAATCAAAAAAACTCAACTAGTGTATTTAGCTACTTCAAACAAAATTCCATTTTTGCAGACATGCGCTGACTGTACAAAAGGCTGCCCGCCCCCAACTCCTTCATACCTTTAGCTTCTTTCAACAGTCTAATTAATAATCGATCGAAAAATTGACAACAGAAAATTATGCGCCAGCTTATCATACATACATTATGGCGAGTGCTGCAAGCAAAATGCCACAAGTTGCGAAAGAATGGTGATCACTCGCAAAGCAACATTAAATTCGGTTGCAATTCTGGTTATCGTAAAAACATGGTTATAGAAAACATGCACGAAAGAATTCTTTCTTGTACTCGTTTTGTAGTAAATTATGCCTTCTT